AACAAGAGCAAGAAAGAAAAGTAAATGTTGCATATAAGATTATGTTGCAATATGCAAGCACCCTTCTTTTCCGATTCTTTTCCGAAACTCTGTTTCATCACTAAAAATATTAGTCACCCTCTTGAAAACAAATATCAAACGTTCGGGACTCCTTTTTTGCAAATACCACAAGGACTAAAGGAACAAAAAAGTTGAAGTTATTACCAGATAACCTCTATATGCTGACTGTATCATTGTAGCCGAAAGGTGTCGGTACCTAAGTGTCGGCTCCAACCTCCGTCTTTGAGAAAACTTTGAAGAATCCATTTTCGTAAAACCATCATTCGAATCTGATCGAAAAATGGGTTGCGGAGAAGGAGCTTTCTTTGGGAAGTTGTAGCGATTGGAAGAAACTGTAGGGGACATAACTGCAGGTGAGGAAACTATATTATGAGCATATTTAGGCGAAGCAATTTCCACAGAGGTTTGGTTCCAAAGGAAAGGAGGTGTCGTTTTCGGGTCATGCAAAGGCGTGAACAGAAGTTGGTCGGCTTCTCCAAGTATTTGTTCGATACTGCTCGGTTCTTTAAACAGGGGAATGAATGACTTGCTTTCGCCATGCCCCAGAATGCTTTTTCCTTTTTTCTTATTATCCTTGCTGCTTTTCTTGTCAGGAGCCTGGGAATAATGTTCGAATGGGTATAGATTAGATTCCCATCAAAATACATTATAAACAAAAAACAATGGATTTAAGATTTACGATTCCAGTCTCACTATCACTCCATTCTATGAAAACAATCAAATGAAAATGAAAAGAAACTATAGTGGCAAAAACAATAGATTGAAAAAACAGAAGAAATTTAAAATTTTAGAAACAAAAGAATGAGTTCACCAAATTTATAGTTCGCGATTAGGTATGAATCGCCTGGCACAGTATGAAAGCATATTTACCTCGTTTAAGGAATAACTTACATAGGCTGGCTTCTCCTTTGAGTTGTGTGTAAAAACCCGTTTGATTGCCGAAAACCAGCTTCCCTTCTTTCCCATCTTCTCAGCATTACTTTCCCTCCCTGCATAAGGATCACAATCATGAAGACGCCAANAACATTTAATCTTCCAGATTTAATTATTTATTCATTTTTTCATCTCATTACAAAGAATGTGTTCATTTATGTGCCATATTTTAGAGATAACTTCTTGAGACCAAAGAACATTCCAAATATGATCAAAGGGCCAATTGGAAAACACAATCCCACCAAGTAGATAAGTCTAAAAGGATTCAAGAAAATCAACCCAAATCAACATTCAAGGGAATAAAAAGTAAATCCGTTGAAATTTCACAAGTCCCAAATCATCATAATAAAAGCACTGAAATTTTGGGGGGAAAAATCAAGAAAACAGCAAAAAATAGCTTAGAAATTACAATTTCACCAGCAAATGTAAACAATTAAACTGAAAAACAAATCTTGATCAGAAATAAACAAATGGGTACCAGCTTAACTTTGTCTACAACCTTCAAAAGCTTCCCTGAAGAATGCACCAGCAAGTACAAAACTCACCCATCTCTTTCTCTCTCTCTCTCAAACACAAACATAAAAAAGGAAATTTACATGCTTCTGTTATTGGTAACATTTCTAAGTTCTGAAGACCCCATCTTTTGAATATTGGACAACCATCAACAACAACCTTTGTACCTGTAGTTAAAGGTTGTGTGTGTTTGAGGTGGTTGAGCGCCAAATTAGATTCTTGCTTGCAAAAGATGGCAACTTTTTTAATTTTCTATTCTGTCCTTCCCATCTACCGTTCATCACCTCTTTTATAATTTGTTTTTTTTTGTTTCTGCTTATGGTGTTATAATGATGATTCATGATGATGACCAAAGGTAATATATGCTTGGTTTTTACTTTCTGTAAGCAAAAGATTGGTCTGGCCTACAAGGAGGAGCCTGTCGTGTGATTTGGTGGGACAAAGTAACAAACCACCATTAAGGAAAAAAACAAATAAATAAAAAATTAAGAAGCAAAAAAGGGTTAAAATATTTTTTTCAATCCCAACTATCCGTGTTTTTTTTACCTTGCAAACCTACAATATTTACCTTGCCCTATTACTATTTAGAGCATCTCCAATAGAAAACATGAATTGTAGGGTATGTGGCAATTAAATAAATGGTCTTCCATCTACGAAGGAATAGATGTTCAAACACATAAAGCTAACATGACTTCTACATGTAGAAGAAGTTCTAGATTTTATTCCTTGTTGTTGTTGTTGTCTCTCTTGTCATGTCATTATGAATAGAATCTACACATTTCTACAATTAACAAACCATTGGAGATGCTCTTATAATTCCTTTTAGACCAAAATACTCTCTACATAATTTCAGATATTTCAAAAACTCTCTCTCTCTCTCTCCGCCACCATGCTGCCCCCAAATCAATTCTGAAAAAATAGAAAATTGTCGTCACGACCGAGACAAAGGTATCATGATTCCTCTGATATGTTTTTTTTTTCGATCCGTAAAATAATTTTTAAAAATTATGTTGAGTGGTCGGCTGATGATGCCTTTAAAAGCCGACCACAACTTAGAGCAGTAAATTCTTTTTTAATTTATTTAATAATTGAAATTATTTGAATATGTTTAAATATTTTNGAGAATGAGTTTTGGGACAAGCCCATACAAATAGAGGAGTACCACTCCTACATAGAACAGTGGAGGGTTTGACTTCCGGCAAAGGTAAACTTTGAACCCCGCAAGTTATCACCCAACACCAACCTAGTCTAGTCGAAAGCAACTACACCAAGGTAACAAAATAAGCTAGCCACTGCACCCACAAGGGACCTAGCTAGCTAACAAAACCTACCAACCAAACCGAAATAAGCAAAAGGAAAAGGAAACCTGCACAAAACTACTAACTAAGGTACTGAACATTGAGAAAATTCCAACCATTCTTGGATGGCCAAGTTGATAGTGTGAAACTCTGATCTCCAAACATTCTCAAAAAGCCATAGGTTCCTTGTTTTCCACAACCATCATAGGAGGTAGCAAGTCAGTTGGATTCTATCTTCAGCCACTGGATTGTGATTGATTGAGCAAATCTTTGTCCGCCAGTGTTTAAAACTTGTAGTCTCAAACTGAATCCCTTCCCATGACACAGGTGCTAGCTTCCATATGGTTTTGGATCTGCTGCAGTTGAAAAACAGGTGCTCCATTGTCTCTTCATGCTCACCACAAAGCTTGCAGATTGTGTCCATTGATATACCTCTCCTTTGCAGATTAGTTAGAACATGGAGTATGTTGTTCTGACACTTCCAGATAAAGTGTCTGATTTTGGTCTTCACCTTGAGTCTCCAGGTTCTCATTCTTGTCCTTTTTATCTCTGTATAATCTGAGCTTGAGCATGCTATATTCATCTGTCTCCAATGATTTTCAATAAGTTTTGCATAGGTTGAGGCCACAGAAAATTTTCCTTGGGCAGTCCATTCCCATTTGAGCTTGTCTGTTCCATTAGGGTCTAGACCCTCAAGCTTCATAATTGTTTCAGCTTCTTCACTTGTAAAACATTGCTGAATGAGGTTCCTGTTCCATCTACTTCCTGTGGTGTCAACTAGGTCACTCACCCAAGTCAGTTCAGAGTTCCTTGGCTGTTTCCCTGTTGGCTTCAAGTCTGGTATACCTGGGACCCATGGGTGGTTCCAGATGTGGACATTTCTTCCATTCCTGACTTGGTATCTTAGTCCCTTCAAAAATGAATCTTTCATGCTCCACCAACTAGTCCAGAGCCAGGAGCTGTTGCTTTTCCTCTTTGCTACCTGCAGGCTGTCATGTGGGAAGTATTTTTCTTTTAGTATCCTGCTTACCATAAGGTGGGGCTGTGAGATCACTCTCCACAGTTGTTTTGAGATCAAGGCTTTGTTAAAAGTATGTAGGTCATGAAAACCTAGTCCCCCCATTTCCTTTGGTAGTGTCAGAGTTTTCCAACTTTTCCAATGGATGCCATGAGAGCCTTGCTTATTGTGATTCCACCAGAAATTTGCAAAAAGAGATGAGAGCTTTTTGTTAACTGATTTTGGCATTAGGAAACATGCCATTGTGTATGTAGGGAGTGCACTGAGAACAGCTTTCATCAAAATCTCTTTACCTGCACATGAAAGGTAGGAATTTGTCCAGTTTGTAATTCTCTTCTTAATGGCTGTTTCCACAAAGGAGAAAGTGGCATTTTTGGATCTGCCTATCCCAAGGGGGAGGCCCAGGTAAGTTGAAGAGGTTTGAGGCTTAATGCCCAACAAGATGTGGCATATATGATTTTGAATGTTTGTAGGAGTATTTTAACTGAAGAAGATGGAGGATTTAGCAAGGTTAACTTTTTGACCTGTGAGGTTTTGGTATTTATTGAGAATTTGGAGTATGGTGTTAGCTTGGGGTATGTCAGCTTTGCAAAAGAGGAGAGTGTCATCGGCAAAGAAAAGGTGGGTGAGGGTTGGGCAATTCTTGCTCATTCTGATACCTTGCAGAGAACCATTTTTAACCTCAGTATTTATAAGATAGGTGAGAATCTCTAAAATTAAAATAAAGAGGTATGGTGATAGGGGATCACCCTGCCTCACACCTCTTGTTGGTCTCACATAACCTGTAGACTCACCATTCACATTAAAAGCAAAGGAAGTTGAAGAAATGCATTGCATAATCCATCTTACAAAAAGAGTGTTAAATCCCAAATGCATCATAATCATTCTCACACTATTCCACTCCACCCTATCAAATGCTTTGCACATATCCAACTTAAGAGCCATAAAATGCCTTTTACCAGTCCTATGACATTTCAAATAATGAATGACTTCATTAGCAATTATCACATTGTCAAGGATTTGTCTATTAAGAACAAAGGCGCACTAAGATTCACTGATACAATGAGGCAGACATGGCTTCAATCTGTTTGCAAGAATTTTTTAAATGACCTTATAAGTAACATTACACAAACTTATAGGCCGGAATTGACTAACCATAGAGGGATGAGGGCATTTTGGAATCAGGTTAATTAAGGATTGATTCATGTTGTTCAAAATGAGGCCAGATTCAAAAAAACTATTTACAGATGCACAAATATCTTGACAAATGATGGACCAAAAGGAGTGAAAGAAGGTTGAAGTCATACCATCTGGCCCATGGGCCTTTAGGGGATTGATATTGAAAAGGGCCTCCTTGATTTCCTTATCACTCACTTGTGCCACCAAATCCTTGTTTTCCTCTTCTGTGATGACTGATCTAATACCTTGCAACTGTTCTGGATCATAATGGCTTCCTTCTGAGGTGAAGAGCTGTGAGTAGTGCTCTTCAATACATTGAGCTATTGCATCCTTGCTTTGACAGATAACTCCATCCTCTCTGACCAACCTCAGAATCTGATTTTTCTTCCTTCTTTGCATTGTTTGGCTGTGGAAAAACTTCGTATTTTTGTCCCCTTGTCTAAGCCAGGTGATTCTTGATTTTTGAGCCCAAAATTTTTCCTCTGACCTGTAAGCCTCTTCCAATTCTCTAGTCAAGATATCCCATCTGTTCCAATCTCTTAGACCCCCCATCTCCCTCAATCTGGATAGCTGAATGTTGCATTCTTCAATTTTCTTGGCATTGTCAGACTTGAATGATTTGCTCCATTTCTGCAGCTCTACTCTGGTTTCCCTAATTTTAGACTGCAGCTGGTACATTGGAGTTCCATCTTGAGGTCTGTTCCAGGCTTTAGCTACAGTCTCTTTTATGCCATCTTTGTTCAGCCACCAGTTGTCAAATATGAATCTTCTTTTCTTATGTTGAGCCATGGGAGAACCTTGGAGCAGGAGAAGGTTGTGGTCTGAAGAGCTCCTAAAGATATTCAGAACTTCTGCTGCTGGATATATAGCATGCTAATCATGAGAGCCTAAGATTCTATCCAGCTTCTCCTCTATGAACCCTTCATTTTGTCTGTTGTTTCCCCAGGTGAAAGTGTATCCTTTGATAGGAATTTCCATCATCTCCATGCTGTTAATGAAATTATTGAGAGGTTGGCAAGAGTTGATGGTTCTCGGGATTCCCCCTTTCTTATCTTCTGGTACTGCTATATCATTAAAATCTCCTTCAAGGAACCAGTATTTCCCCCATTTTCTTCTGGCTGACTTCAGATACTCCCATTGACTGTTCTTTTCTTGCGCCTCAGTGCTTGCATACAAAAAAATCCCCCAACAGACCAACTCTTTTTCTTCATCCCAATATTCCACTTCGATGCAAAATGAATTCTTTATAAATTGGAAAACTTGGATCTCAGGATCCCAAAAAAGCAGTAGTCCCCCACTTCTACCTCGGGGTTCTACAGAAACCCAACTATCTTTAACTCCTAAATTTTTACAAATAGTAGTAATAAATGCATTTTTATTTTTAGTCTCCGAAAGGAACACAAAATGTGGGTGGTGGAGCTTCCAAATCTCCTTTAGCTGGGAGACTGTAGAGGGGCCGCCCACACCTCTACAATTCCACACCGCAGCCTTCATTTGGGTTGTTGGGGGGGTTGGCCACCATTACCCTTTGAGTGTCTGTCTTAGATTTCTTCTTCTGGCTATCTGGTTTTTCCTCCATAGTGTCTTTACTGTTCTCAAAGTCCCAGAGTTCTGATATGGTTCTTTTCCCTGTTGATTGCTTTAAATTTGTTTCTGCTTTTGTCTTTGTATTTGATTGCATTTTCCTTTTCCAGTTTTTCCTCATCCCTGTTATATCTTGAGAACTCTGAATAAGAGAAGGTGTTTCTTGACAAACTGACACTAACTGTTGTTGAACAAGGGGTGGAGACTGGTTGTCTGTGTCCATGTCTCTGGTTTGGGTTATGGGTTCAGCATCTTGTAGGTGGACATCTTTCTCAGCCGTTGTAATCAGCTTTTCAATGGGAATAGGGTGTTGGGCTAGGTTCTGATTATTTGTTAGGTTTTGGTTGTGTTTTGAATTTGGGATATTTGGGGATTTAGGGATATTATTGGATTCCATGGGTTGACTGTTACTCTGGTTACTTGGGTTGGGAGATGGTTGATTGGTTTCAATGTTATTGTTTGGGTAAGAAGCTGTAGATAGGCTTGATGGGGAGGGATGGTATATGTCTGCTGCTCTCAGCCATTCTCCATAAAGACTTTCCTTTAGCTTCCCTGTTGTAATATCTGCTGCTCTTTGGTCACAGGTTTTATCCACATGTCCTAGATGTCCACAATAAACGCAGAAGTTGATCAGCCTCTCATATTTGAATAGTACCTTGATCTTGGTTTCCCCCATCTGTATGTTGGTGCATCTTATTAACGGTTTTGAGGAATCCAGAACTACCAGCAATCGAACACATTTCCCAGCTAACATCCCTCCTTGGGGTACATTCACATCCAGGACTTGTTTGAATGCTTTACCAATTTTCACCCCAACCTCCTCTGAGATCCAGTGGATAGGGATATTCCATGCTTGTGTCCATATCTCTATTTCCTTGAAACATGGGTGGTCTTGATTTATACCTTCTGTCCACTCCTTTAGATTCAGGAGTTGCCCTTCAAAGGTCCAGTTCAATCCTTTGATTACTTTGCATTTATCCTCGTTCTCAGAGAAGATAAATTGGAAATAGTTTGGCCTGAGTTCTCTGACTGTGACCGCTGATTTTATCTGCCACATATGGTTGACCGCCCTTCTAATCCCTGCAATATGAGCTTTTTTTTTTTCCCACAATCTTGCCAAACAGACAAGATAAATAGGATAATGCATCTAACTTTAATATTTTTATGAAACGAATTAGTTGTAATATATGTAATAAAACGGTTTGCTGAGTAATTATTAATTTTAAAAAATATAATTAGTATTCTAATATAAGTTGAAAAAAGTGGAATTATATTAATTATTTGGTTACGACTAATTATTATATTGATTTTTTAATACTTTTTAGGAAAATAATTATTTGTAATATAATAATGTATTTTAGGAAATAATAAGAATTAATATTATTACTTATGTAGATGCTTTCACTCGTCGAGTTTTTTGGTTTTGGACCCCGACACACGAGGAGTCAGTATGTAGATGCTTCCACTCGTCGGGTCAGAGACGATGAGATGTTGCGTCAGATTCACATGAGACAGACTAGGTCACGCTGACTAGAGTGGCGGTTCGAGACTTCACTCCATTACAGACCGGTCAGCAGTCCTCCTTCCAGCACCGGGATGATTATTATGAGTCGACAACCGAGAGGCTACAACTCTCAGAGGATTCTGAGTTTACTTTGAGTCTACAGATGACCAGGACATTCCTCCCCCACGACAGGCTCCTGTATAACCTGCTCCTCCACGTGTTGGGGGCCGTTTCGCGAGCACTTGCTGAGTTGTTTCAAGTGGAATAGGTTGATAACTGGGTTATCCGAACTCGGCTCGTCATGGTCGGCCTGGCCTACCAACAGCCGCCGCGAGTGGCTGCAATCGTCGGCCGGCCGGCAAAAATCATACCTCGTCGGACATATTTTCACTAAAAATTGTCTGGTTTTAGAGAATTTATGATTTTTGAATTTTTTAGAAAAATATCATGAGCAAAACGATCCAAAAGAAGGCGGTACATAGTAATAGGGGGTCGATGTTTAGTAACA